AACTAATGAACCTTATTGTGAAGTATTACCAGTAAACACAAACACTTTACTTCAATAGTCCACTTTAACAATAAGAGACCCTAGAATTTAATAGAATTTAATGGACCCTAACCCTGACCCTAATGCTGACCCTAACCCTGACCCTAACCCTGACCCTAACGCTGACCCTAACCCTGACCCTAACCTAACCCTGACCCTAACCCTGACCCTAACCCTGACCCTAACGCTGACCCTAACCCTGACCCTAACCCTGACCCTAACCCGGCCGTTAGAAACTTCCCCATGTGCTTCATCTCCCTCCGCTGATGCTCTACTGCGGCTCGGGACGTACAGTTGCACAGCTACTCGTCAGTAGAAAGACCAAAGAGGGCCGTCGGAATAAAGTGAACACATTATTTACATGACTGTCATGTTTGACTGCGAGCGGCTGAAACGCGCGTGTGTGTGTGTGTGTGTGTGTGTGTGTGTGTGTCCAGAAGTGATGAATCTCCCTGTGGGACGCGGGCGTTTGCTAAAGACAACAGAGATAAATGTGGAGTTGGGTTACAGTTACAGGATTAAACTAGTTTACAATAAAAATATAGTAGAATGAATTCTATGGAATCGACCCATCTTGATAGCTGAGTAAACAAGTGTGTGTGTGTGTGTGTGTGTGTGTGTGTGTGTGTGTCACCTGCCTAGTGCAAACAGACCCACCCTGGTAATATTTGTCAGTCAAGTTAAACATTCAGACTAATACAGCAGTAACCGGTTCTACACACACACACACACACACACACACACACACACAAGCTTAATTTAATTACTACAATGTGTTTGGTTTATGTTGAATGGATATTTCATGGCAGTGTGTGTTGGATTGTTGTCTGGTCACGTTCACATCAAACATAATTTAACGACACACACACACACACACACACACACACACACACACACACACACACACACACACACACACACACACACACACACACACACACACACACACACACACACACACACACACAGATCTGAAAACGTCACCGTGGCTTTAGTCCAGGACATTTAATATTCAGCAATATTACTGACAGCATCATATGAGAACTGAGCTGAGCTGACGATGACATCACGGTTTTCTCCACAGCCGCTATATTATAAATGAACTAAATTAATATCTTTTTTACACAGAAATGAAGCATCGCTGAACTTCAGCTGGACGGTGACGCTATTCTCCACTGGAAACACACTCCTGCATTATTCTCCTGTTATCTCCGTAAAGATGCTCTGGCACACTCTGTGTTTTATAAAGCGCTGTATAAATAAAGCTGACTCGTCTTTCTTCACTCCGCAAGAGAATATCTGTGTTTATCGTCTGTGGATTGTTATGTGCATTGATGCAGTTCCTGTGTGACACTGATATCAACATTACAGTTCCTAAATCTGCCATCAACTGCTTCTGCTTCCTCATATTACCCAGCATCCTCTGCTGTCGAGACCAACACACAGATCATGACACACACACACACACACACACTGGCAGACGAGCGGTTATTAATAAAGGATTTTCCCTTTACAGACAAACTACATGCAAACCAGCGTCTGGAGTTCATCCCCGACTGACTCTGATCAACACAGATGATAGATGTGCTTCACACACTTCAACCGTACACACACCGTTCCCACTAATCAGCACACGTCTGATCGGCTGACGCTGAAACTGGGAATAAACGAAGCCTCTGCTGGTGAAGTGCTCCTGTTCTGTAGTGTGTAATAAAGCTGCTTGTGGATGTACGGTCAAAGATAAACAGAGTTTTATTGTCTCCTAAAAGAAAGAAGTGATTCTGAACTAAAACGAGTAATTCAGTCTCATTAGCATAATACGGTCTTGATTGGCTGAACAGCGTCTCTTGGCCCCGCCCTCAAACACTGCAGTGTATCTGAGACTGGAGGAGTTCGGCTCGTGGTGTTCGTGTCGAGAAGAACAAAGCAAATCCCCTTCGATGAGATTGATCCGGTGAAACCCTGAGATTGAGATAATATGATAATGAGCGTTTGCTTTCTGGCCAATCAGAGCAGAGCAGCTCTCAGAGAGGCGGAGCTTAGACAGATTGAATCCTCAATGGAAGCGTTTCAGACGCTGAGAGGAAAGAGCTGAAGCTGCCGTGGACATTATGAGGAAATAAAGTGTGTTTGAGCTTTGGATGCGTGTGAACCAGCCTTTAAAACAGCATCATAGGGCACTATAAAAATCAGTTTAATTATGACATTATGACAGGTTACATCATCTTCACACACGATTAAACAGGCGAGAGGATTGTGTGCAGAATTCACAGGATGGACGCGGATCACTGTGTTCTGCCATGGCACATTTGACCAAACATGGTCAAACTCACAGAGAGAGAGAGAGAGAGACAGAGAGAGATAGAGTCGCTCAAACCACACCATCAGCCCAGATAATCAGACGTGAGGAAGATGAACGAGCACATCAGGCCGCGGACGCTAATAATAGCATCAGGATCGTCCGCTGTTCCGGCCTGGGAACAAGACGCTCCATAATTCCCTGATATTTTCTCTGACCAAATATGTTCCTCACAGGAAGGCAGATCACAGATTCTGTCCTGCAAAGCGCAGCAGATAAGGCAAGAGAACAGAAACACCGAATATTTCCAGACCACAGAAATAGAACAGTGCCTTTTACAGACGGACAGAGGATCATGGGTAAACAACAGCTGAGGAGCTGCACTGATGATATAAGAGCGTTTAATGCTCAAGGTCACGCTCAAGGTCACCTCGGGTCAACAGGTAAAGCGGAAAATGGGTCATTGCCCCTCATTCATCTGAACGGCCAGTGAACCCTTCCACCATGAACAAACAGCACATACAGATGAGGCTTGCGGCGACACACACACACGCGTCTCCATGGCAACCCTGTTCCCAGGATCACCAGCCCTTAATAGGCCTGGTTCGGCCTGATGATCCGTACGCGTGTATTTATAGATCAGGATTCACTGGAGGCTCCGTCATCATCACAACAACACCAATCCCCAAAGAGCAGCGATTCACCTTCATTACCCATAAACCCCTGCGATCTAACCCATACACCCCTGCACTGCGGTCAGTACCGTTTACCCATAAACCCCTGCATTGCGGCCAGTGACATTTACCCATGAACCTATCTTACCCATAAACCCCTGCAATCTTACCCATACACTCCTGCGATCTTACCCATGAACCGATCTTACCCATAAACCCCTGCAATCTTACCCATAAACCCCTGCGATCTTACCCATACACCCCTGCGATCTTACCCATAAACCCCTGCGATCTTACCCATACACCCCTGCGATCTTACCCATAAACCCCTGCGATCTTACCCATAAACCCCTGCGATCTTACCCATACACCCCTGCGATTTTACCCAACCCCTGCGATCTTACCCATACACCCCTGCGATCTGACCCATACACCCCTGCGATCTTACCCATAAACCCCTGCGATCTTACCCATAAACCCCTGCGATTTTACCCATACACCCCTGCGATCTGACCCATACACCCCTGCGCTGCGGTCAGTACTGTTTACCACTGCATTGTGGGATACGGTGTTAAATGCACATCTATGAAGACTGTGACATCACACGAGCAGTCGGCTCATGCACACCATCATAACAGATTTATCCTCATTTATTTAACATTTGAAATGAAATATCTTTTACGCTGCTGCCATCTGATTGGCTGATCAGCCACACTCCTGATGGAGACAAAAGACAGAGCCCGCGCTAATGAAGTCTGACGAGCTCGTTACAGTCGGGTTTAATCAGTTTAACTCAGTCTTACCAGGCGGAGGCTGAAGAAGAGCAGGCAGACGGATGAGGACAGCGCTCGCTTTCTGCAAAACAGGAACACACACGGACATCTGTGAGCAGGGCACAAATACACATGGCTTTTCTGCATTTTACATTAGCATCATTTTGTGGAAGTTCTCAAACATAGTTTTCTCAACATACGGTTCCATCAGTGCTGGGCGGTTTACCGGTTCATAGCAAATACCCGTGTTTATTTCTGTGATAAGAATTTTGTGTATGACGCTTTAATAACGATTGAAACGCGGCGCGACACGCGTGAGACGGCCCCTTTCACTCCTGTGGTGATGCGTGTGTTCCTGAGACTGGGAAGATGGATGGATAGGTTACACTGTAACTGATAGCTGTCAAATTATATTAGTGTTTCCCATTCATTGGTTCACAACATCAACACAGCCTTTTGGAAAATCGATTAGTAGTTGGCATTGACATCGTTCATTGACAAGTCAAAACACGGCGTTTGTTTTTATATGTATCTGTATAAGTGAACTAACGGCCTTTAGAAACGTTTCTTTATTATTATGATGGAATCGTTCTTTATCTTTTCTGATTAAGCAGTTTATGTGTGTTGCACTGCTTTGTTTACAGGCGTTACCGGGGAAAGCTATTTCTGCGCTCTCACAGCGCCTCCTGCTGGCACCGGATGTAAACGGCCTTGCAAACCTGTATTAATACTAGACTAATATAAATTGACTCAATTCAAACTCAATCTACTGCAGTGTTTCCTCTCTCACTCAGTACAAATGTGGTTAACCAAGCCATGCTTAGGAAAATACCGTCATATAATACCGTGAAACCGGCATCATTTTCAAAAATACCGTGATATGGATTTTTGGTCATCCCGCCCAGCCCTAGGGTCCAGGATGTTCGCTGTAAATCATTAGCATTTGCCCCGCCCACACCTGTTCAGTGTGAGCTACACCAATCACAACAGAGCTCATTTACATAAAACAGACGAGAGAACTAATGGCCATGAGGAGCAAATAATGGCGAAGTCGAAATATAAATGCGTGCTGTAATGAGGACGGGCTTTACAGTAAAACATTCAGGAGCCGAAGCCAATCGACTCGTATTATCAATCTGTCCGAGATTAAAATAAAGCGTTATAAAACACAAATGATCCGGTTAAATCTCCAGCTAAAGCCTCTGTTCTGTTCGTTCAGTCTGGCAGATCAACACAATGACTGACGTTTATTTTTAGACGTTAAGCACGAGTTATTTCAGGTAACATCAGACGAGGCGACAAATATTCTGTTGATTAAAGCATCCGTTAATCCCAGAGCGTCCATCCGTTCGTAAACCAGCGGAAACATCAGCGCCTGAATAAACCTTCATCATCTGTCAATCACAGGACATCATCAGCTCTTCTGGTCAGCTCGACCGATGTAATCAAGCATCCCCACGAGACACACACCCGTATCAGAGGTCAAAGGTCGTGTGTCCAGTCAAACTCTACTGATTCATTAGTGGGATCTAATTTAACCAGATTGATGAAACACAACCATCAAGACAACGGCCTAAAACCCGACGGTTTCTCCATTCTGAGGAGTTCCTGTTCCTCTTTTGTCTTGCTTATTTCGGGACGTTTAATATCCAACAATATTATTGATCTCCTGCATTGACAGCATTATTATGACAACCGAACTGAGCAGGTCATTTACATTTATTTATTTAGCTAACGATTTTATCCAAAGCGACTTACAATTGCTATATATGTTAGAGGTCAACTAGGGGTTAAGTGTCTTGCTCAGGGACACATTGGCGTCTCACAGTGGATTCGAACCCGGGTCTCTCACACCAAAGGCATGTGTCTTATCCACTGCGCCACCACCACGTCATCGTCCATGACATCACGGTTTTCTCCAGAGCTGCTGTATATATATATATATATATATATAAACTAAATGACTCAATTTTTACAACAAACGAGACGCGCCGCTGAACTTCAGCTGGACTGTGACGATATTTTGGAAACACACTCTTGCACTATTCTCCTGTTATCTCTGTAAAGATGCTTTAAAAGCACTATATGAATAAAGCTGACTTGACTTAAAGCCTGAACACACACACACACACTTTCGGTCAGGTGTAGCGTGTGCACTATTCACTCGCCTGATGTCCTGCCGCCGGTCATGTGACCCGCCCGAGGCTGCTGGGATACGGTCACATGACCAGCGTCCTCGGCTGACACGGGTAATAATAGCGTTCAGAAGTCACGTTCTGAGTTATAGCACAAAGGTGGAAGGTTTAATTGGCAGTGTGGATTGTGCCGTGACTGAACGCGGTGCTGAGATTAGAAAGAGCAGGAATAGCTCAACTCTATTTATATCCGCCGTCCAGGAACCGCTCGCAGGAGCAGTGCATGATGGGAGATCTGAGGTCCGACCAAACATTCAGTGTCGTAATCATTTATGAATCAACATGTATTCATTACTTCAGTCAGCTCATCTTTTCTGCAGTGAATTATTACATTGTTTAAATTGATATATTTTTCACTAACTGTGATTCTGTATATTTCTGAAAACCTTCTCAGATAACAGATCACTGTAAATGTAATGTGGACTAATGCACTTTCTGTAAAACTGCTACAGTGTATTGTGAAAAGCGCTAGACAAATATATGTGTATTTATTTAATTGAATTAAAATTAATGAAAGGATTTGAAACTGAGACCCAAAGTAGAGAATTACTGTGATCTGCCGGTGCTGTGAGACCCGCGTTATCATCAGCGTGATGCGTTAGCAGAGGAGCATGAACGTCTCCAGGCTTACAGGACAACCAGAGAAAGCGGATGACATCATGTATGTGTGTGTGTGTGTGTGTGTTGTGCACTCAGGTCGTGAAGATCGTAAGCGCCGTGACGAGCGGCGGCGCTGGAGTATTCCTCAGAGGATCTGTGCGAGTCCGAGAGCGACAAAACACTGACAGCTTCAGCACACACACCAGCAGGCTTTACTATACTATACAGCACTCCTCTTAATACACACTACAGCACTCCTCTTAATACACACCACAGCACTCCTCTTAATACACACTACAGCACTCCTCTTAATACACACCACAGCACTCCTCTTAATACACACTACAGCACTCCTCTTAATACACACTACAGCACTCCTCTTAATACACACTACAGCACTCCTCTTAATACACACTACAGCACTCCTCTTAATACACACTACAGCACTCCTCTTAATACACACTACAGCACTCCTCTTAATACACACCACAGCACTCCTCTTAATACACACTACAGCACTCCTCTTAATACACACTACAGCACTCCTCTTAATACACACCACAGCACTCCTCTTAATACACACTACAGCACTCCTCTTAATACACACTACAGCACTCCTCTTAATACACACTACAGCACTCCTCTTAATACACACTACAGCACTCCTCTTAATACACACTACAGCACTCCTCTTAATACACACTACAGCACTCCTCTTAATACACACCACAGCACTCCTCTTAATACACACCACAGCTCCTCTTAATACACACTACAGCACTCCTCTTAATACACACTACAGCACTCCTCTTAATACACACTACAGCACTCCTCTTAATACACACTACAGCACTCCTCTTAATACACACTACAGCACTCCTCTTAATACACACTACAGCACTCCTCTTAATACACACTATCAGCACTCTCTAATACACACTACAGCACTCCTCTTAATACACACTACAGCACTCCTCTTAATACACCCACAGCACTCCTCTTAATACACACTACAGCACTCCTCTTAATACACACTACAGCACTCCTCTTAATACACACTACAGCACTCCTCTTAATACCACACCAGCACTCCTCTTAAATACACACTACAGCACTCCTCTTAATACACACTACAGCACTCCTCTTAATACACACTACAGCACTCCTCTTAATACACACCACAGCACTCCTCTTAATACACACTACAGCACTCCTCTTAATACACACTACAGCACTCCTCTTAATACACACTACAGCACTCTCTTAATACACACCACAGCACTCCTCTTAATACACACTACAGCACTCCTCTTAATACACACTACAGCACTCCTCTTAATACACACTACAGCACTCCTCTTAATACACACTAAGCACTCCTCTTAATACACACACAGCACTCCTCTAATACACACTACAGACTCCTCTTAATACACACTACAGCTCCTCTTAATACACACTAACAGCACTCCTCTTAATACACACTACAGCACTCCTCTTAATACACATACTACACACTCCTCTTAATACACCACTACAGCACTCCTCTTAATACACACTACAGCACTCCTCTTAATACACACTACAGCACTCCTCTTAATACACACTACAGCACTCCTCTTAATACACACCACAGCACTCCTCTTAAATACAACACTACAGAACTCCTCTTAATACACACTACAGCACTCCTCTTATACACACACACAGCACTCCTCTTAATACACACCACAGCACTCCTCTTAATACACACCACAGCACTCCTCTTAATACACACTACAGCACTCCTCTTAATACACACTACAGCACTCCTCTTAATACACACTACAGCACTCCTCTTAATACACACACAGCACTCCTCTTAATACACACTACAGCACTCCTCTTAATACACACTACAGCACTCCTCTTAATACACACCACAGCACTCTCTTAATACACACCACAGCACTCCTCTTAATACACACTACAGCACTCCTCTTAATACACACTACAGCACTCCTCTAATACACACTACAGCACTCCTCTTAATACACACTACAGCACTCCTCTTAATACACACCACAGCACTCCTCTTAATACACACTACAGCACTCTCTTAATACACACTACAGCACTCCTCTTAATACACACACACAGCACTCCTCTTAATACACACTACAGCACTCCTCTTAATACACACTACAGCACTCCTCTTAATACACACTACAGCACTCCTCTTAATACACACCACAGCACTCCTCTTAATACACACTACAGCACTCCTCTTAATACACACTACAGCACT